GGCATGCGGTATGAATTTTTTTTTTTTTTTTTTTTTGTCCTAAAACAATTCAGTCTCTAGTTGGGTTCTTTATAAAATAAAACCAAAATTCAACTCATCATAACAACGAAATTTGTAGAGAATCCCATTGCTTTATTTATAACCCTTAATTTGCAGAAAATATTGTCGACTCTGAATACTAATGACATAGCGTTAACCTGGATGAGGGACATTACAGTGACCTTGTCTGAGGACGGCAGATTAGAGCTCCTGCCGGTGTGATGACGTCTGTCTAGAAAGATAAAAACCTAATTTCTTTAATTTTGTCTCCAGAATTGCATTCCTGCGACGAGAAAGATCCACCATGAATAACTGTAATTTATTATTATTATTATTATTATTATTATTATTATTATGAGAGGTGGTGAAAATCATCAATTCGACTCAAAAGCAAAAGAAATTGACGATCTCGGTCCAAAAGAAGGAATGATATCGCCCAAGCCGCTATTAATAGCAGCGGCCTGGGGAGGCCACCGATCATGTGACAGAAATCAACAAGTCTCGACGTGACCCAGAATTTGACCTGGACTGAATGAACGCTCTGTTTACATGATGATATGCAATAATTTCCATACAGCTGTTAACAATTAGTGAACACGTGATCTGTACATACGCAGACAGCGAGACGGCGAGACAGCGTTCTTCAAAGCGTACATTACAGAGATGGAAGGAACGGTTTGAAACAGAGGTAGGCTTCTTTTTCTCTTTCGCTAGCTCTTTAATTATTTCTTTCGATCTCTTTCTCAAGCGCGGCACATATGCACACACAAAGAAGGAAAACAAACATACCCTCACGAGTAGGCCTACGCATATTTCAGGCCCGTCGTCCGGGGAGGGGGGAGGGGGAGTTCGAAAGAACTCTCCTTTTTGCCAGAAAGATGTCCCCACTGGGTAAAATTTTACCTAGGTACAAGGAGCTTTCATGGTGAAAGGTCCACTATTCAGAAAAAATCCTTTTGAAATTGCTGGCTACGGGCCTGCATTTCTCTCTGGTGAGCTCTTTCACACACATGCACAGACGTTTTCTGTCACTTACCGTGCTCTCTCTCACACGGGAGTGCACTCGTGTACACATGCACAAACCCATATCCACACACCCTCTCTCTGATGCTCTTTCTGGACTTCCCTCTCTCTCTCTCTCTCTCTCTCTCTCTCTCACACACACACACACATACACACACACACACACACCACCGGTAAAACGTCGCAACAAACATCCGAGCCAGTGTAACGTGCCACAGAGAGTCCCCCATGAGTCTGCTTCGCCTTCATTTGTACAGGTAAGCTTAGCCCTAGATTTTGACTCGATTAGGTAAAGCTGACCACAGTTATTACGAAATGGTCGGCGGACTTTTAGTTACACGGACCCGCAGTTTCGTTACACCCAGGGGCTGACCCAGGATTATTTGAAGGTGAGGTTTAATTTTCTTTTAGGAATGGCAGGCCTCGGATGCAAAGCCTCTCCTCGCCCTCCCTCCTCCACCCCCTCTCCCCTGCTGAAGGGCCTCGTGATTTTTTTTATTTTTGTGTTTCAGAGGGCAACTGGTGACATTGGCTACAGTTTTGAACTATGCTTCTAATTTCAAAAGGGGGATATTGGTGAGAGTTTTTAAAGGAAACGAATTCGGAGGGGGTGGGGGGTGAGGACACCCCTGACCCCCCCCCCCCCCCCCAATCCGCCACTGACACCGGTGTCTAAGCCTGCTGCAGGCGACTTTACCTGATATAGATTGACGAAGTGAATGTTACTCAAATTCAATGACAGTCATGCAGTACTCTCGACTATGGATTTTTTGCATACAACTTAATAGTACACGTACATGTATCAGGCCCGTAGCCAGGGGGGGTTCGGGGGGGTCGACAGAACCGCCCTTTTTGCTGGGAAAAGGTCCACTATGGGTAAAATTTGATCTAGGTTCATGAAGTTTTTATAGAAAAAGGTCCACATTTTCAGAAAAAGAACCCCCCTTTTGAAGTTGCTGGCTACAGACCTGTGTATCGCACTCTACTTGTGTGCTTGTTTTTTACAGGGGTCATGTCGATACTCCCCCGCACCGATACTACCCCACACCGATAGATCCCCGCACCGGTACATCCTCGCACCGATACTTCCCTCAGTGGGGGAGTATTGGTGCGGGGAAGTATTGGTGCGGGGACGTATAGGGATGTTTCAGTAATTATACCTTGACTGACAGTAATAACACGGATGTTTTTAGGCGCTTCTGTTAGCTATTAGCACTTATATAAAATATTACAAAAACTGAATATTGAAAATCAGGTTTGTCTTAGATGAGATGTATATACATAAGCAGCAATGCGATACTCCTGGATTATATACATGTAAAAAAAAAAATTACTTGACCTATAGATGGAAGTTAGTCTAAAAATATAGGCAATCTAAGTCCATCATTACAAAACATCACCTGTAATTTTTTTATCAATGTTTTATGTACCTTAACAAGGATATGTTTCATAAGCATTAATTTTTATTTATTTATTTCAGTTTGCTTTGAATCATTGATCCTCATTTTCTTTCATTTGTTTTTCAGTTCTTTCAGTCTTCGGTTTTTCAGTTCCCGTTCAAAATGGCGGCACTCCCGGCTAAGGTTGTGGCGGTCGTGTCTAACAACATTCAGGTGGCGTTCATGCTGATTTTGGGTCTTTTGATTCCAAACTTTGCGAAACGTTTCTTCTTCAAAAGACGCCTTCCCTATATAAGTGAAGAAAAACAACAATGGATGAAAAGTATGACAGATCCGGACGCTTTCGCCGAGTCAGCTTTTACTTGGCAACAGGCCAAAACTCGCTGGCTTCGAGGAATGCAGGTCCTTTACTCAAAAGCAGACGAAGGTTGTTTGGCGCCAAACGTCCCATTATTTCGTATCCAAGACAAGTCGAAGTGTCGTCTGCTCGACTTTGCCAAACCGGGTCGCCCTCTGGTGGTCAACTTTGGAAGTTGCAGCTGACCCCCGTTCATTGCAAAATTGGACGCCTTCAAGGAGTTGGTGACCAAATTTGCCGATATCGCTGACTTTATCACTATCTACATCCAGGAAGCGCACCCATTTGAAGGATGGTACATCGCCACAAAACGGTATAATCTACACCGACACAAAACTCTCGAGGATCGCTGTCAGGCGGCGGCCATGTTGGATGAAGAAAATCTTTCCTGCCCATTGCTTGTCGATGGTATGGACAACGCCGCGCAGAGAGCTTACGGGGCTTTTCCAGAACGACTGTACATCGTGAAGGATGGCCGCGTAGCTTATGAAGGAGGCTTGGGCCCGGATAAATACAGGCTAGAAGAAGTGGAAGCTTGGTTGGAATCGCATTAGGCATTTGAACGTAAAGACCAACATTTGTAGAAGTTTTAATCACTGACACCGACAAGCTCTGTTTACACTTTCTGAGCAACAGACTCTCATATGGAAATGCCCAATTCTGTCGCAAGTAATCAGCCCTAAAGAAAAAGTCCTATGGGACAATTTTGTATAGACTATAAGATCTTTTCGTAAGGGAAAACCGTGTCCATACAGATAAAGCAACTCAACACACAGATAAATGCACATGTATATCCTTGCCAGAAATCTAAATGATTTACTACGACTTATTAGAACCCCCTTTACAGTGGACGGCGTCCTTTCTGCGTGCTTTGTGCGACCATGAAATTGGCATCGCTGTGGTCGTAGAAAGGAGCCACAAGCATCGCTTTGGTTACTGAATGAATTCGAAGTGATCGACCAGTTTTCGGCACGAACACGTGAAGTATTTTTTTTTTACTCTCAAACGGGGTCGTACCACGGGACGCAGAAAAAAAAAACGCCGTCCAGTATGAATGAGGCTTAAGTCACTGTGTCGCTAGGTCCCCTTTGAATAGCTAGATCACTCTACCCATAAACGTGGTTGGGTGAGAACCAAACCGTTCTATCAATGCTTCTAGCTCCAACTTGTGGTTTTGAGATTTTGGCAGTTGAAGCTTTTAACGTCCCCTAAGTAGTACGACAGAGCAAATTCTCAACTTTTCAGCGATACCAATGCCA